TAATAAGCCTTAGTGCCGCTAAACGCGATCGCGTATTAATGTTAATTAAGCTTTAAGCTCGCGTATGATACTAGGCGTACGAGCCTGCTAGAGAGCCTCTAGAACAGCTGATGGAGTAGGCGTACAGAGCTTTATATTAAGCTTTGATAGAACAGTATCTAGCTAGAGAGAAATAAGGCCTGCGCCGCGGAAGGTAGAGCAGATATTAGCTGGCGTAAAGGATTGATCGAACGCTATCTTAAACGCTAGCAGAAACTCGAGCTTAGTGATATAGTTAATATAGTGGCGGATTAGACTCTCTACTTCGCGGCTATACGCACGCTTTAATAGCGAGAAGCAGCTAATGTTAAGAGGCTGGAGTAGGTAAGAGAAGTAAGGTGGTATATAGAGCGTATATATATCGTTCTTCTTATAGAACTCTTAAAACTTAAGAGACTAGTGGCTCTTATGGCCGTTAAGGATAAGTAGGCGACGTGTGCCGACAACGCGAGTCTTCGTGTGGGTATCGAAGTGCTTTATCTATGTAATATCTAGCTTATTATTCGTCCAGCTATTGTCGCTAACTACGATCGCCTAGTCGCGCGGGATCTCTGCCTCCTCGTACTAGGTAGATAGGTGATACTAGCCAGCAAAGATAAGAAACGGTGGGACTAACCAGCCAGCTGCATTAATCGCTGCGATCAGCGTCACCCACTTACGATTATCTAGCTTAACTGCCTTTAGCCGGCCTCTCCTCTCTAACGCTATAACAATAAGTTAAGTCGTGATCTTTCCTATTATAAAGCTAGCTTCGTTAAAGTTATAGACATTCTTATTATAGATACTATACTTAGCTTTTGTCTGCTCTATAAGATTAAACTAGCTCTTAATTAGGACTAGGTCTTTATATAGAGCTCTCTGCCTATTATACGCTCGATTAAAACGCGTTGTAAGTGTCAGAATGTGGGCATAGTTTGGACAGTTGATAGAATCCAGGTGCTCAAGCACACCCGGATTCTGTGAGTAGCGATTATACATGATCCGCTGCTATCCGGATCACCTATAACAGCACACGCTGCAGATTAAGCCGCAGTATCTAGAGTCCTTGTGTACAGCTAATAAGAGCGACCTTCGCCAAGGCTATAACCTAGCCGAGGCTGAAACTAGAGGCTCTACCTCATACAAAAAGCAATAGCTAGACGACTCTAAAAGAGGCGCGCAGGCGCGCCTCTAACGAGATAACAAGATCAACGATCAATCAGAATCAATTCAATCTATACACAATTATCACAGCTATTTACCACAGTTTTATTCCCATCTTTAAGAACCATCACTATCGGACAGTAAGACTATTTGTACGCTTAATAAAGTTGCTGTTACAAGTAACAAGAAGGATTCTCTCCTTAACAAATAACGAGATGGCTGAAGGCCTAGAGACGTCCACGTCAGAAGGTAATGATCAACGCGGGGCGTCGATCACGTGACTTGGCATCCCGCCAAGGCATGGCCTCCGGGAGGCCACTGCATAAAGGGAAGCCAACGTCCTCCTAAACCTCCCGCCAAGATGGGATGTTAGGAGAACAAGACTAGAAGTAATGAGGATATAAGGATGGATGGATTTTATTATTTACTCTCGTTGTAGTCAACTCAAATTGTACTTTCTTACTAGTATCTTTACTTAACAAGATTGTCACAAGTTAACGTGTTTTACAAGCGAGCGGGCCATACAAGCGAGCGGGCCACCCCACCAACTTTGCGCACCTCTCTAACTCTAATCAACTATGGCCCTATCAAATCAAGCCCGCAACGTCTCTCATGAATCTGATATACAGCTAGCAATCTTAGCTATTAATCAAGATCAAATTAAGTCTCAAAGAGATGTAGCAAAAGTCTACGAAGTCTCTCGAACAACACTCCAGCGTCGACGCGCTGGCATACTTACCCGACGCGATTGCCAGCCTAACTCAAAGAAGCTTACAAAGCTAGAAGAGGAGGTAATAGTTGATCATATAATTGATCTAGATCTACGTGGATTTTCGCCTACCTACGCAGCTGTGCGTGACATAGCTGACAGACTACTGGCTGCGCGCGGCGCTGGCCAGGTTGGCGTCCACTGGCCGCGCAACTTTGTTAAGCGTACAGACAGTCTTACGACGCGTTTCAATCGAGCGTACGATAGGCAGAGGGCTCTATGTGAAGATCCAGTCCTAATTAAGGGCTGGTTTGAGCTCGTGGAGCAGACAAAGGCCAAGTACGGTATCTGCGATGAAGACGTCTATAACTTCGACGAAGCTGGCTTTATGATGGGCAAGATCACGACTCAGCTAGTCGTAACAGCGTCAGAGAGGAGGTGCCGGCCAAAGGCAGTTGAGCCAGGCAATCGTGAGTGGGTGACGCTGATCGCAGCGATCAACGCAGCTGGCTGGTCTATCCCAC